ATACAAAGTACACGCTTGTTTTAAATGGCTGCCTTTGTTGTTTCCTCAGGCACAGGCAATGAGCAGCGAACCTGACCTTCTAGAACTAATTTTTAATGCAATTGAAAGAAGTATTAATACTGAAAATAGCTGCTTGCTTCTTGTAGCTGTGGATATATTGTTGAACTCCACAAATGTGAAAGAGATGGTAGGTATTACAATACAAAGTGCTTGAAGGAAAAGATATACTGGTATTGTTTCGTATAAGGATTCAAATCAGATGACGCAGATTGAGCTCAGGTGACTCAGTCCTGCAATGGGATGAACAGAGAAAGGCACTAGCCTCAGTCCAAAGTCCTGCTGGAACCGCAGAAAATATGGGCGGTAGTTCATGGATAATTGCACTTTTTTTTTCTTTTTTTTTTTTTTTTTTCCTCCCCTTAAGCCCTACCTGCTCTGATCCTTGCTGTCATTTTAAGTTTGTGATGCGGGAAGGCTAAGATGCTCAATGCTCTTACCTACTGGGAAGAGAGCTTATTCTCTGTCTGTCTGCATGTCTGTCTGTCTGTCTCTTTTTCCTTGCTGGGTAAAAAACACAAAACAGTTGCTTTTGTTTAAAATTCCATCCTGTGAAGTAAGGGAGTGTCTTAATCTGGTGTCTGTATTTTTGGACTGGGGGAGGTGTCTGTCTCTGGGTAACATGCTATGTATTTTTCCACAATTAGAATAATGAATAATAATATTTTAAGATGTGGCTGAATGTAATGCGGGAAATAATTTATGAATAATATGACACACTGATTAAAATCCAGAATGATACTATCAGCAGAAAAAAAGAAAAATAAATGCAAAATGAATTACTGCAATCTGGTGCTGGTGTAGATCATCTTGGTAAAAGCAATGAAAATTTAATCAGATACATTATTTTTCCCCAGAGTATTTGACCTTGTTGTGACATAGCTGATAGTAAAGTGCTATTAAGGAGTCCATTTAAAAAAAAAAAAAAAAAAAAAGGAATGTTGTGTTTTTTTCAGTGCTTTAGCATGCCTGGCATGGTTTGACTTCAAAGTATTGTAAAAATTACAGTGATGGGCAATATGCTTTCAAAAACAGCATCTCTATCTACCAGGCCATCATGAAATGTAAGTGATGACATCATTGATCTAGCTTAGGGAGTAAGTAGATTCTGAAAGGAATAATGACTGGTTGCTATGACAATGTGCCTCTCGCCAGCTGCTGATTTGTTGCTTGAACACAGGGTTTTACGTGCAAGATCCAGGCTCTGCGTGATAAGCTCTGGGTCTTCCTGGTTCAGTCTTTCTATGCTGTTCGTCACACAGAAAGCTGGAAGCTGATGAAACCAGATCATCAACAAAAAATAGAGGCAGGTATGTGCGGTGTCCAAGGGCATTATAGCTGTTTAATAATCTGTTTAGTATACAAAAATTAGGCAGTATCGGGGGAGCTAGGAAAAAAATGTGGCAAGGTTTGTGGTACTCGAATTCTAATTTCTAAAGTGGAGTTTCAGAACTGAAAGCAAAATAGCGTGCTTAGCTAGCTGCAGACAGGGAAATCAGCACCTCATTTTCGGTGAATAGGTCTCTCTTGTCTGTTCCTTTTTTCCCCTCTCCTGGGAGTGTATACAATAGCAACCAAAGACATGCAGATTGATTCAGTTCGTGTTTACAGCTACTCTAAATTATAGAAAATATTGCAGTAGGACTTAACCTGCCTTCTTTTTAAAGAGATCTGCCTCCTTTTTAAGGAGATGAGCACTGTGGATGAATTAAGTCTGCACAAAGCTGATTATCAGTTCCAGCAGTTCTATGAATTCGGTTTCTACTTTTTATTGGATTTCTATATAATTGCATAAATATTGCTTGTCTCTCACATAATGGTATCTCGTGGGCTGTGAGTATATGCAGATGGCTGGACTGCACAGTTGGTTGGTATTGTGATATTGTGTCTGCTGCCGTAGAGCCCCTAAGGAGCTGCATCGTGGTCTCTAAAAATTTGAACAGGCAGTACTTCAGCTTCCAGCAAAAAGGAGTTTTTGTTCTGAACACTTCTTTGTTTTGAAGTACTCAAATATTCTGAGGGTGCAGAACAGATGACAGGATTAGGTTTATGGTGGAGTACTAGCTTTGTTAGAAAAAAAAATGTCCTGGACACTTCTGTCCGTTCAAATGACTTGATTCAAAGAAAGGGTAAACACTTGAATGTCCTTTTTGTTGAAGACATAAGCATTTAGAATATTGATAGTAATAAAATGGTTTATGCCTGCAGGGGGATTAAAATTTTATTCGAGAATTACATGTGGGAGAAAGATACAGTGTCAGTCTTTGTAAGCGTGATTTAGGGGTGTAGCCAAGCGAGGCTCATTGCTACTTTATAGAACAGGTTTATGATTTCTTCCTGGATTATAAAGACCTTCAGAAGCTGGCGTTTTTCTTTTCCTTTTTTTTTTTTTTTCCTTTTTTTTTTTTTTTTTTCCTTTTTTTTTTTAACTTGTTTGCATCATTCTTCTAAATTATGTTTAGGCTTTTTTACATTAGAGTTTTCAGTGGAGTGGGGGAAAAAAAAGCCTGTGGTTTGCCATTAGTTGTCTGAACTCCATCTTGCCAGAAATTATTTTATCATTGAGATTATAACTCAGAACTGTGATACATTTTATTTGTAAACAGACTGACTGGAATGTTTGGATGAATTATCTACTTTTAATTGTAGGTGAAGGGATTATGCAATACTGTCAGACTAATTTTAATCTTCAGGTGAAATCTGTCCGGGGTAATTTAAATCAACTTTCATCTTACAGATTGCTACTGGTGGTTTATTCTTTAAGGATTTAGCCTATATAGAATTAGCACACTATAAAGGAAAAATGACAAAATATTATGGTTTTGTTCATTCACAACATTTTTTTTATGTTGTCCCAGGCACAAGTCTGTATGGATTTTGTGTAACATACTGCGTGCATTAATGTGCAGAGTCATTGTTGGGAAAAGCATTAGATCCCTGTGGTGCCATTTTCAGCCTATCTTTTTTTCTGTGATTTTTATGGACCTATATAAAATCACTTTTAGTATCTCAAATGAGAATTCAGCAGAATTTTGTTCTTACTGTTATACATGCATATGTCTTTGTATGTATGTTTGGTATATCAGAGTATGACAGACTTGAGTGCTTCCTTTTAATCTTTTTTTTTTTTGGTAAAACCTTTTTCCAACTGGAACATTAATACAAACAAATAATCCTTATTGATTTTGGGTCTGTACAGTATCTATAAATATCCTTTTTGTACTCTACAAGCATGATTGATTCAAAGGATTTAAAATTGAAATCGCTTCCCTCCCAAAGAACAGTCAAAAAAAAAAAAAAAGGGCATTCACTGCCTTGAAAATTTCACATGACAATCATAAGATAACTCGTGGCATTAAGCTGTATGCTGACTAAAGACATATTATCATGTACATCTGCCTTTAGAACTTCTGCAAAGGTTGAAAGTCTCTTTTTTTGGGAGGTAAATTTTGTATGCATTTTCAAAGACCTCAGTTCACTGCAAGCCTTGCGTGAACTAAGCCTGAGGAAGAAGTGGAGCTTATCATGGAGATGGGGAAGCAGAAGAGTTAAACGACTTGCCTATGGTCGCATGACCTCACTACAGACACCATGTTTTTTGTGCTAAACATAAACACGTATTTCTCCATTTAACATTTGCATGTCAGTAAAAATAGCTTTTCCAGAATAATTACAGGGCCTAAAGAATTGCTTTCGATGTTTCAGATCCTATTAATTGAGTAGGCTGGACTGTTGGCTGTGTCTCATTCCTCTTCTGCATAATAGTAAATAAGATGCTTTTTTCCCTTCTACAGCTGCTTTTGACAAAGGTGATGATCGAAGACTTGGCAAAAAACCTATATTCAGCAGCTCACAGGTAAACATGTACATCCAAGTATTAAAAGTACTCAAATGCTTGTAAATTTTACTGTTTTCCTCGTTACATTTTACTTCAATGTTCATAATTCATATTAATGGATTTTTTTTGAAAGTTTACATAGAAATCATTGAAATCGGTAATGTCCATTATTGGAAGGTTATTGAGGACACAGTCCTATGCTCTACTACATTTTAAAATGAACAAGCCCAAATAAATAGTTCAAAAAGGAATTTGTGTTCAGAAACTCACATTCCCCTGTTGCTACGTAATGAAACTGATCTCTCTTTCCCAAAGCAAATGGTTTGGTGCTGAGCTAATGAATCTCTGGGATTGTCACAAGCATCACAGCACAATCTATGATACTCCCTGCTCTGAAATAATACATTTCAGTGTTCTCATTCTAAATAATACATAACTATTCGGTGGAAAAAATAGTATGGATTTTATATGATTTGATCATAAGGGTTGGATGCAATGTAATTATTTTTGGTATCACAAAATTTCATTTCATTCATTTAATAATTTGAATTCCATAAATTACCTGAGAAATGCAGAACAAATTGCAGTAGCTAGTGGATAATTTTAGTAACGGTGTAAAAAATCCCTGTATCTCATATATTTCAAATGAAATTTTGATTTTGTGTTTATAATTCATAGTATTTATTCTTTTTTGGAAATGTGTGTATATATAACTCAAAAAAAGTTTCTTTCAGCTGACACTAATCATGTAAATAATGCAGAAAAATCTGTCCAATGTAAAATTGGGATTTTGTTCACGCGTTTCCATATCCTCTATATAGAGCCGTATCGCACAAGAGATTTACTGGGCACTGCAGTTAGTTTCTATCCTTGAAAGCCCGTAATCTGAGCTGAAAAGAAACACATATATATGTCTATAAATTTATTTTATATATATGTAAAAATGTCTATGCCCAATCTTGTTTTAGATTCATATACTGCCAAGATTTTATCTGTGTTTCAAAAACAAAAGATTATGGATGGTTCAGTTGAATAATTTTTTTTTCCTCCATTCTTTCTTTCTTTGGTTGTTTTTTTCCTAGCTAAACAAAGCCATTAGTGAATCAGTTGGCATAAAGAATACATTCTGGACAGAACAAGGCAGGAAAGATTGCTGGGGAGATACTTCCACTAATCAGGATAAAATGAAATCTGATGGATTAGGAGCATCTGGACATACATCAAGCACCAATAGAAACACTGCTAATAAGGCTTCAAAGAATGAGGATGTAAAGGGGAAAGATGGCAAAAAAACAGTTTCCAAGATTACTAAAGATTCAAAACCTGGAGAAAAAGTTTCTTCACCAAAGGCCAGAGCTGTTATAAAGCCAAAAATAGAAAATAATGGGAATGTAAAAGCTGAAAGTTTGCTTTCCAAGCAAGATGTTGAAAAGGCATCATCTGCAAGTGGACAGAAAAATTCAGGAAGTGGCAAAGGACTAAAGAACCAAGAGGGGAAAATCGCAGGTGCCAGACCTAAAGTGCTGACGGGAACCTCGAGTGTGCAGGTCAAAATCAAACCACTGAAAAAAACCACAGGGAAGGAATCTCCCTCCTCCCTAGCTGGAGCAGGAGCTTCCAGCAAATCAACACATTCAAGCGTGGATATCCAGACTGCCAGTGAACAGACAGAAGAACAGAAAGAGGATAAATCGGTAGAAGAAGAAAAAAGAAATACTGGTAATTTAAAATTTAAAAAAAGAAAAAGTATTAATCCCGTCTGGTTACAGGTTGGTCATACGCTGAAATACAGCCTAGGGAATTCAGGAAACAAAGAACTATTCTAGACTAGTAGCGTTCCCATCTTCCCGTATAAATGAATTAATTAAGAATGAATTAATTAAGAATGAATAAATGAATTCAATTAAGAATATTAAATTTCTCCTCTATTAAACTTCATTTTGTGATGTTTTGAAAAAGTCTATCATCAGCATGTGGTCATGTAACATGGTGAAGTCTTCCAGGTTTAGCATCTACAGTTTTCAATATCTCACTTATATATATTGGAATTTCTTCAGTATTTGTATGCCATACATTTTCTCCTTTAACTTTGAATTTACTTTACTATAGGGAAAACAAAGTCTTTGTTGAAGACATCAAATGGACTCATCAACAACAAAAAAAAGACTGAGCTTGAAGCTAATGTTGGAGCAAGCAGGTTTGTTACAATTCAGTATGCTACTTATATGTATGTATATGAAAGGTTTGGGTTTTTTTTTTTTTTTCCTCATTTGACCTTTTATACTTGCTGCTAAGTTAATTTTTTTTTTTTAACCTAAGAATACTTCTAGGAACAGTTGTCTGTTGTACATTGCTAGCAAAAATATTAGTGAGCTATTGGAAACACTGTTGTAAAGATAAAACCTTGTTTGCCTTTGTGTTTGTTTGATACTAATCATTCTGATGTTGTTATAGGTCATTCAGAACTCTACATACTGGACTGTTCTGATTATACAAGGCTGTAAAATTGTCACCTCTGGAATAGCTTAGATTGAATTACAAAAACACTGGACAGGAAGACAGTTGAGACCTTGTAAAACTGGTTATTTTCACGTATACATAAACACGTATATATGCATTTCTTCTCAAAAGAGAAAAGAAATTATTAATCTTAGGTTGCATTTTCCTTATTTTCACTATATATTTGTGCATATTAAAATAGATCTATTGTTTAAATCTCATGAAACATTTATGGATCTTAAGGTACAAATCTAAAAATAACGCATATATTTTGTTCCCAGTGTGACAAAAAAATCAACTGGAAAAGGGTGTAATGAACAAAACGTGCAAACTGTTCTGAAGAAAAAAGGGACTGTGAGTAGCAATTCTGCAACTCAGCAAAAGGCGCAGAACACACCTATCAATTCTCCCAAAAACCAAGGTAAAGTTTCAGCAAAACAGTGCTCCATTGTTATGCAAAGCTTTGCACTATTTTTTAGCACAAAAATTTGGCAATATCTTCTGAACAATTCTGTTTATTTCCATGTTTCATTTTTGCTGACAGCCCTAAACTGTAAAATATAAATGAATGTGTGTCAACTTCATAATAATTAAACAAGCAGAAACATCCACCAACTGGCAGTGAAGGCTGCCTCTAATCTGCTCTGCAGTCCTTCATTTTGATGATACTTCTGCACTTAGAGCCACCACTGAGTTCAATAGTAATTCTATATATCAAACATTTATAGTATGTAGAGTATTAAAGATTCACCACTAGCTTTCTAAATAAACATTTAGGTTAAAAAGAATCTTGTGTACCGGTTTAATGCTTCCTTTATTTTTTTTTATTGTTACAGGGAAGTAGTTGCAATAACTGTATTATAAAATTACATATAAGACGTAATCTACACAAATATTTTAAAATCAGTCATACGCAAGCACATAAGCTACAGTCAAGAGAATCATTCTATTGTTGGAACTACCACTAGAATTTAATTTCCTTATGCATTGTTTGCATTGTTAGATTATACCTTCCTCTTTTTTTTTTTTTTTTTTTTGATCACCCTAGTTGTAGCTCTACTGTTACTTGTTTACGCCATGAACTTAGTTCTTGATTTCAAAAGTATGGGAAATTATATTCTAGACTACAGAGAATGATCTGCTGTGAAACAATGCAAAATGTTAAGGATGGAATCGTTTTTAACCATTTTAATATCAGTTTGACTGACTGAGGTGGGGGAAAAAGTGTTCAAGTTAAATGTATTATGATATATAAAACACAGGTCCTGTCAATTTGTGGTCATTAAAGAGCTTGCAGCATTTTCTAACAGGGCAAGGATATTAATTCTAGTTTTCTAATTGTATTGTAACTAATGAAATTATATTCTGCCTACTTTCATTTCCTCTGCAATATAAATTGAATACAGTGCTCATCACTTCCTGTGCTAAACTGCACTATTAGATAGTTGCTGCTTTCTACCCCAGTGATGACTGCGTCAGTGACAGGTGAAGTAACTCTTTTGTGTACAGTCTGTACAGTGCTTTAGTTTCCCAGATGGCATATAAATGAAAGATGATATTTTTGTCCAGTGTTAGTATTTAAGATCTTAATTTTTAATTCTTTCGTAATTCTTAAATCCATTAGCACAAGAAGTTAAATAACTATTACTCAAGTGACATAAATTGTACACTTTGACTGAAATGTACAAACTTTACATTGATGATTTTTTTTCTCCTATTTGTTAGGATCTCAGGTGGGATCACCAAATTCACTGAAATCAGGAATGTCTCCAAAACAAAATGAAGAAAAATGTGTTATACAACATCTGTCTCAGACAACACTTTCAGAAAAAAATCCTTCAACTAAGAAAAAGAGCATTAAACAGGTGCAAACACCTGTAGCAAAAGTCTCTGCAAAAATAATAATGTCTAAAACTCAGACTCCATCAAAGCATGGTGAGAGTATGAACAATAAAGACACAAAATTGAAAACAGCTGGGCAAGCTCTATTAAAATCACAGTCCTCTGCCCAAAAACATTCAAGAAGTGAATCTCCTGTTGTCCAGAAGACTATTCACACCTCTGAGCACAGAGCTTCAGGACAGAAACTTGAAAAACATATGGCTGATGCTGTTCAGCTTCATAATAACGAATGCAGCTCTGCAAAGCAGAATGAATGTGTGAAGTCTTTGGTGGCAGAAGGCAAAGGAGATGTACTTTCGGAATCCCGTCAACATGATAAACAGAAATTATTGAATCCTCCCGACAGTGGGGAATACAAATTACAATCTGATTCTTCTTCTCCTCTAATTACCGAACAAACTATTCTGAAAACGAATGTTTCTGTCCAAAATGAAGTGGAAGCAAAACACATATGTGGAGATGCAATTGAAATTAAACAGCTTAAAGATGCAAAAACAGATGGGAATATTCCTGAATTTCACTGTCACGCCGAGTCTACTAGTGATGGATACTCAGACTTTTCCAAGGAAAGCAATCAAAAGGCTGCTGCTTCAGGAGAAAGGGTGACACATTCAGAAGCAACAAAAGTCTATGCTGAAAAAAGTAATGCATTAAACGCAGAAATGGGTCTTACCCAGGGTGAAAATATTTTACCAAACTTCTCTAAAAGGATATCCAATAAAGAGGATGAAATATCATCTCAAATTAATACAAAGGGATTTCTGACAGCTGATGAGTCATGTGATAGATCAGCCTTGACTGAATATAAATCACTTAAAGAAGATTTACATGATATTTCAAAATGTACCACTGAACAAGCAACAGAAAAATGTTCACTTAATTACATAGAGCCTATAGATGCTACAGAAATGCCAGAAAACCATGAAAATGCAGAAATTCCCTTTGTGGACCACTGGAGCACAGGGACACTCGATCCAAAAGAGAGTCCTGAATCAGATACTGGCAGTGCAACCACATCCTCTGATGATATAAAACCACGATCAGAAGATTATGATGCTGGAGGCTCTCAGGATGATGAAGGATCCAATGAAAGAGGGATTTCCAAATGTAGCACTATGTTATGCCATGATTTTCTTGGGAGAAGCAGCAGTGATACAAGTACACCTGAGGAATTAAAAATTTATGACAGCAGCCTAAGAATAGAAGTGAAAATGAAAAAAGAGGGTTCTGATGTATTCCGTGTTAATTCAACAAGTGATGATGAAATACCAAGAAAAAGATCTGAGATCTGGTCACATCAAGAAAGTGCAAGAAGGACCAATACTAGAGAAAGTGAAAGCTCTACTTTTGGCAATGCACAGTTTACTCAGGAAACAGACCAGGTTTCCTCTTCTGCTGATGAAACTGAGGAGGACAGGTCTGAAGCAGAAAACGTTACAGAAAACTTTCCTTCATCGGATGTACCCACTCAGCAGTTTCAAGGAATTGATAATTTGGCTTTTGAAGATGCAACAGAAAATAATACTGCAAGTCAGGAGTTTTCTAAAGGTAAAAATTTCAAACGATCCGTTTTACTTTCAGTAGATGAATGTGAAGAATTGGGATCAGATGATAGACTAGAAGCTCCTACATCACGTCAGCATTCAGTAGATTCTCTTACTCCTTCAGATGTATTTGACAGTGTTTCTCATGAGCATCACGGGCCAGCTTTTTATTCAAGATACTCATTGGAGATTGAAGATGGATTCCTGGACTGCAAACAGCATAAGGACAGAGACAACAGACTGGATAACAGTGAAAGTTCCCTTCTTTGTGATACTGAGATTCCAGGAAAGGAGAATCAAGGTGCTTCAATGACTGGAGAAGACTGTCCAGAGAAGGGGTATTCTGCAGCCAGTTGGTGTCCACCAGCAGAAAAGCAAAAAGTAAATATGAAAAATGAATTGGCTAGTGAATTTCAGCAGTGCAATAAATACTTAGACAATGATGCAAAATCGCAAGAAAGGCCATGTCATCTAGATCTTCATCACAGAGATGCTGATTCTGATCTGCAAAAGAGCAGCTCTATAAAACCTGTAGAACCCGATAAGAATCAATTACTGGCTCAGGAAGGTCAAGTGAGAGACAGTCAACCAGCAACTACTGAATACGCTAATACTGATTTACTTCCAGGTAATGTACAGAAATAGAAACATTCAGTCATTCGAAAGCAAATTAATAGGGAAAACATTGGCAGTTTGTCTGAATCCTGAACTGAAGTAATTTTGGTTGAAAAAATACATTACATACTTTAAAGTATTTCACATGAGTGCAGAAGGCTTGTCTGTTTGAAATATCCATAAATACCCAGCTGTTAATAAGAAACTTGACTACTACAAGACAACAGATTTTATGTAATGCTAAAAGGAAGACTGGACACAGTTGTCTGTAGTTCAGTTATTTTTGATCCAATCTAACAATGACAGCATCAACTTTTGATGGAAATTCAGTATTTGTTTTGTCGCTTGACATATAGTATGTCTGAATGGGATGTGCAATAACTACAGTAATAATCTTAACTAAAGCGCACTGAACTGTTTACTTAACAGCTATATGCATTACTGTTGTAAATTATTTATATATTATATTATACACAAAATTGGATCCTTCTCCCGCTGAATATAATTGAATATTTGCCATATACATCAGTGGGAGCAGGTCTGAAGTCTAATTTAGTGTTTTTGAGGTGTCTTACAATTCTAAATTTTACCAGTAAAAGCTAATTTCCTAAAAGAGAGATTATACTTAGAACTAATAATTATATACAGAAAAGTTCTAACTTGTTTAACATAGATGATTACTTGTCTACTTGTTTGTGTTTTGTCTTCTTTGTATCAGTAATTCAGTTTATCCCACCAAAAATATACAATAGTGCTGATAACTATTGTGTATTCAAGAGTAATGAAATGCTGATGATGACCTATGTTCAGCTACACTACAGAAGAAGATATTAAAAGCTCTACTATTTTTTTTGTTTGCTTGCTCTTGCCTGCAGCTGCCCTTGCATGTGCAGTATAGAAATAGCCTGTCGATAAATTATTTTGTTTTTAATTCTTTTCTAAGCTGACATAGTGTAAGTCACCATTCAGTAATCATTCTCTATTAATTCCCTCCATGCACCTGCTGGTCCAAATTTAATTTGTGTAGTAAATGAAAAACTTCATGTGCATTAAATGTATACTTACATAGCTTGTCACTTTCTGTATCAGAAACTTTATAATGGAGGCTTACTGTTAATTACCAGTGGTGATTACTGCTTTAATTTATAAACCGTGCTTTGTTTTTTATATAGGAAATAAGTTGCCTCAATTTTTGTCTTATTTTGTATTACTTCCCCCATTCCCCTTTTTTTAACCTGGTTGGAATGACCTTCCTGAATGAGTTAAATTTTGCTCTACACAGCCCTGAGGGGAAGATCATCCACAATTTTTACATTGTACAGTATTGTGAATTATTTCAGGAGACATAGATGATTATGACACAATGGCACAAACCTGCATGTATGAACATCGACCTCCAAAAACCCTTTCTCCAATATATGAGATGGATGTTGGAGAAGCAATTGAGCAGAGGATGGATTCGGAAACAGCAGATCTAGATGTGGATTTCGAAGATCAGCAATTTGCAGAACAGGATTGGACTCTTCTCAGGCAATTATTATCTGAGCAGGACTCAAATATAGGTTTCAAAAACTCTGTTCCTGAAGACCTTAATTTAGCACAATGTCTTATCAATCAGACACTGTTTCTGGCAAGAGATGGTTCGAATCCTCAGGGTACATCACAAGTTGACACTTTCAGTAGGTGGACTGAAATAATGTCTCCACTTGATGATTCTTCAGCAAGCATTACAGTGGCAAGCTTTTCATCTGAAGACTGTTCTTCTCCTCAAGGGGAATGGACAATCCTTGAACTGGAAACCCATCATTAAGGTGATTAAATGTTTGCAAATGGACTCCAATCCATTTCCCAAATCTATTTTTGATGTGCTGTTTCCATACAATAATTAAATACTGCATCAGTCAAGAACATGCAGTTCTTGATACTGAGGCAATCTTTCTGATGTGAGGAGGTAAATACATTAATTTATAAACTAGATTTAATCACAAGTACCATAATTTTTCAAGGCTTAAATGTATGTCTTTTTCTAAAATCAATTTTGAGCATGTATTTTCTAGACTTGTTAGAAAAAACAGATGATTTGAAAGAAAAATCTAGGGTTCTCCTCTCCCTTTTATACTCCTTTCTGCCATTTAATGTTCTAATTGAGCAAGAATTTAAAGATGACTCCAGAACTAGTAGAGCTCTTCCCCCTCCTTTTTTTTTTCTTTATATGGTGACTTGATTTTACAACAATAAAGATTTAGAACAGTTGTGTCAAAAGGTGATGTGTGCCAACACTGCTTTAAATAACAGAAAGGTATACTTGTGTTTACAGAGAATGTTTGAATATGAATCTGCTTTGGGCTTTATTAATATGAGCAGCTTGTTCCGTCTCTCTCTTCCAGATTTGATTTTTGTATTTTGGGGGGGGTTTTTTGCTTAGAAGTTTCCAATAATTTTTTTAATTTGTCTTTTGTTCAAAAATAAGATTTCAGCAATCTAGGAAGGACACCATTTCTTAGAAAAGTACATATTTTAATGATATTTTTAATGACAGTGCGTGTATTCAGAGGAGCTGGCAGGATGCAGACTCTGTTCTAAAGACAATAGGGTTAGTATCTCCAAAAGTGTATTTCATTCTGAAGTACTGATAGAAAAAATCTGGTCCCTGCTACATCAGAAATCTGACTTGCATGAGAAGTATCTTTGGGCTTCAGTTCACTACACTTGCACTCTTTTGTGACTGAGGCAGGGCAAAATTATCATGGATTTAGTTTTGTTTATTTTCATATATGCTACATTTTTGTAAGGGAAACAGGGTTTTTCTATCTTTCCATCTTCATTAGTATCTTTCAAGTGTAACTTTTATATGTAGACTAAGTGTTAACGATTTTTCTGATGAAGGAGAGTAAAATGGAAAACACTTCTCAGTGTTGCTCATTCTGCTGTTTCTGCCTGTTAAGTTGTGCGTGGACAAGACTGACATGACCGGAAAGAGGGAAGTCAGAAAACAATTGTAAGTTAAAACTCTTCCTGAAACAATCAGGTTTGTGAGTTTTGTGTTTTGTTTTGTTTTTTTCTCCCTCAGCAAAGGTTAAAAAAGCCTTCCGAGATACTTGTGTTATGGAAATAGTAAACCTTACCTTCCACACAGCTATAGAGGAAGTGTTTTACCTCCTCTTAGTCATTAAAAGGAGTAGCATCATCAAAATTGGGTAACAGATGGCAGGAAAAAGATACTGATTTTGTTGTTATTAAATCTATGTAAGATAAGTGCCCAACTTACACTAGCCATAACCACAGATAACACGATCAGTTTTGCAAGCTTTTGCACATTACTGATAGTGTCCTTAATTTTGTTTAGAAACTTCATTCAATTTGTTCCTAGTCAGGAATTTTCGATTATGTTGAAATAAGAAATATGCCATAGCATACAGCTAATAAATTTATACCAGTCTTACTTTTGGACTTGACATAGTAATGAGAGCTCATGCAAACCTTTTACTCAAAGTTGCTCAAGCAAGCCACCTGTAGAAGTAAATGTGATGGTTTAATTCCTCCAAGTTAAAGGAGGAAATAAGAAGACAGAAATGGAAAAAAAATAAAATAAGAAAGGCTTCCTTCCTTTTTATGCTCAGGAAGAGAAAGGAATCAGAACCCAAGGAAGAAGGATGTTCAGTCTCAGAAGACCCTTCCCTTACTCCTTTAACTTTTGGCAGTATAAACGGTCTGTGATTATTATAATTTAAAATTATTAAAATCTAATATGCTATACTTATCCCAGCCTTTGGTGGCGGGGAGCAGGGGCAGATGCACCTTTAGTAAGTTCATCAAAAGAACCTGTGTTTTACCTCCAATTTACCTCCAGGTTTAGAAGATGTATGGTCAGTAAATGATCTTTTGGATAAATTGGTGATAACTAAAGACAAAAATTTGAGAGAATTTTTTAAAGAAGGCAGAGGATATTAATACTTAAAGAAAACAAAATGGAAGAAAAAAATACAAAATTAGGACAAGTGACACAATGGAGAAGAGTGGGGGTTTTTTTGTTGCTGTTTTTGTTTTACCTGTTTTTGAGTTCATCTGAATTTAGAAAGTAACACCGAAAAGTGGCACACGGAACTCCATACTTGTGTCCCAAGGAATATAGTCAACTATAGGATTTTAGTTTTATTATTTATTTATTTATTTATTTATTTATTTATTTACTTTAGTAGCTGTATTAGGAAAGCTAAACCAGATTTCTTTCAAGTCCCCACGGATGTTGCATTTCCTTCATGAGATTTTGCCCTAGAGCAAATGGAGTATTTGGTATATTGTTCAGCCGATACATATGTAATTGTAGAATGCAGCTTCACATGGTCTATGTAGAAGTAGCTGAGAGAAAACAGTATTATTTTTATATGAATTTGCATTACTGGAATGCCTGTGATTTTTAGCAAACCGGCATCCCACAGGCCAGACACTGTACAAACACAGAACAAAAACAAAGACTTCCCACAAAGTGGTTACGATCCAAGTGAAGACAAAAGATAAAAAACACAGATGGAAAAGCAAAAATGAGAGAGAATCAATATTTGTCTAGCTAATTAGGAATGGTTTCAGCATAACATCAGTTTAAATATTGTCATTTTTTTTCCTTCGTATGCCTTATGACAAGGGAAATGGAGAGACATTTGGAGACTAGATAAAAAGGTTGCTCTACAAGATCTATATTCCTCACCAGCCCTGTGTGCCATCTAAATTCTGCCTGTTTTATCCTGTTTAGCAGTCCCTCATTTTTCAGAAGGGCATACAAGATTTAAACTGGTATAGGTAGCTACCTATGTTCTCTAGAGTCTTGGTCATGTTTCCTGACAGTGGTTTTGTGAACATTTATTGACCTCTTCTCCAAAATATGGGAGAATGTACAAAAGTTTCTTTGAAAACTTAATATGCAAATAATTAAAGATGTTGTCATGGGTGCTAAGTGAATGGTGTGTAGGAGGTCCTGAATGATCTTCAAAGCAAAGGTACTTACTCCTAATGAAACAGTGAGGGGGATTGGTGAAGAGATGTAACAGTTAAAAGAAAATGCTTAGGAATTCATCTTTGCAATAGTATTTTGAACAGTAAGAATGGTAAAGTTGTTTTTGTCAAACCCTGAGAAAGGAGTGTTGTAGTCAAGAGTTAATGCTGACGGCATACATGAGACACTGGGCTGCATGAACAAAGAAGTCTGCAGCTTACAGAAGATAAAGAATCAGAACAATTTAGAGGAGAGGACTCAGATATGAGTTGCAGATAATGATCCTGCTTTTGCCTACACGTAAAGACATGCTACTAAAGTGAAGAATAAGGAAAAATTTTTAAATGTACTATCTTAAAGATAGACTAGACCTTTAAAAGCTGATGTTTATACACAAAATGTATTTGCTTGAAAGGAAGGAGTCTGTTCTGGATTAGAGAAGCAGATCTCCAGATTTTTTGTATATAGGTAGTAGCTGAACTTGTGAAATAAATTGCCAACAGATGTACTGCAGAAAGAAAAGAGAGAGGAACTGAGAACAGAGCACTTAGACCCATACAGAAAACGGAGGACACTGGAGATTCTTCCAAAGCATCAATGAGGGAAGCTAAGGAAATAAACAAAGACAGTGAAGAGAATCAAATGAGGATGGCAGTTTTTCTAAAGAAAGCACTGCTGGCTTTGTTGAAGATGGCCCACAAGACCAGATAAGGATAAAGGATCATTCTGAGACAGGTTTAAAAAAAAAAAAAAACATTCTTAGCGACTGAGATTTTGGTTTCTTTGGAATGAAGGACAGATACCAATTTGGGAAGGAAGGAAAGTAACCTTAAAGGTGAAAGGGATAGGCAACAGAGAAAAAAACATGTTCATTAAGTATATTTTGATTTTTTTATTTAAAGACATGAGATATACCATATGTGTAGCAAAAGAAATGAGAGTGAGACCTAAAATAAAGATCAGGAGAGAGGCACAAGTATGCGTGAATGAGGTGAGCGTGTGCTCTGATAGTGGTACTACAGCAGAGTACAAAGAGAGCAAGAAACGCTTTTGTGGAAGAGTAGGGGAAAGGGCACTCCATGTATTTGTTATTCTTCTCTTAAAATAGCATGCTGTAGAATCAGAAAAATAAAAGAATCTCAGAAAAAAAATAGCTGAAAGGGATCTCTGGAAGTTTCTACTCCAAGCGCCTGCTGAAAGTCAGATCTTCACTTCAAAGTCAGATCAGTTGCTAGGGCCTTATTAGGGCCTGTGGCACACAGAATGGTAATCAAGTCAGTAGGCAGTAACATGATGCTCATAGGAAAGGGAGTATTACAGATAAAAATCTCATTATAATAAAATAACTCTGGATATTGTCAGGAAAGGCAACTTTAATCATGAAGTACAAGAAATACGGCTTGCTTACAATATGTCCAAGTTCTGGATGATACCTGGCTTGACTGTTCAATAATCTTAGTCCAACATTTTACATTTTAAGGTTTTTTTTACTTGTTTCAAAATTTCTTTGAATTTCTGAGTTTGTAAATTTTATTTTGGAGGAACAGACAAGCAAGAGAACTCCCCATGTTTCTCACACAAAAGACTGTTTACAGAATCAGTTCCCCTGACACTGCCTATCACCATTTCTTTCAGATTATATGTAAACAAAAGTAATGCTCCTATTCTAAGAGCAAACTGCCGATAGACTATTTTAAACCTTTAAATATATGTTACTGCCATCTGGAAATAATTACTAGCATGCTTATTCTTTGTTCCAGAAAAATCTGAACTTTTGCATGAGGAATTCAGAACTGCTATTTTGTTGTTAATGTGTTGCCCAGAACCAGGACATTTAAAAATTAGTTATTTTGTTTCAGCTAATAGCAAAGGAAAATCTCCTCTAGACCTCAGCTGGTTCAGGGCCTACCTATATTAAATGCATGTACTAGAAATGCTGTTTTTCCAATATATGTATTTCATAGTTCTCTAAGTTCTACTCTACTAACTTGTAATATGGTACCATTATAGATGTGAAAAATTACAGCTAGAAAGACTTAAAGAGTCATAACTGTGCGCATTCTGTTAATATATCATGATAGGGATGATTAACAGCTGTACATTGATAAATGACATTTTTTCTAGGACCTAGCAGGAACTGAGGACAAAAGACAGAATCAGAGGGAGAAGCTTTGTTAAAATAGATATTTCATGGAAAGGAAATTATGAGATTATGTCTTGCAATTCCTATTTTTGCAGGTATATTTCTTGAACACAAGCTAAATATGCTATTTTTGACAAATAAGCTTCAGTATGTTCCATTTTGGGAAAAATCCAGCTAAAATCCATTTGCCTAATTTAAAACCAAGCTTCCTATCAGCAACTACAAAATATACTTAAAGAAATTATACCTGTGACAGTAGAAAATTA